ATAGTCTTGTAGAAAAAAGATTCATAGTCCTAGCTCGTCCACACGATAAAACAACTTAGCCTATTGAGAAAATACTTTAAAATCACATGGTAATTAGATTAATTAAGTAACACTGATATCATACGTATAATAAAAGAAATCCTAGTTTGTATTACAATATAAAGTTTTTTTAAATAAAAATAATAAAATTATTAGATGTTTAATTACTAAGTATATCATCCAAAAAACAATTTAAAATCACTCATCCTTCGTGCTATTATCTTTATTGAATGAATTCTTTAGTATTCAACACCGATATTAATAAAAAGTAACATACGTTTACTTTTATTTAAGGAAATAATTTCCCTAAAACTTCCAAAGTGACAATTAAAGTTTGAAAAAAAAAAAAAAAGTGGGCAAAGCCCAGAATTACAACAGGACACCTATACTGGACGAAGCAAGAAATAGGTAAAAGAGCAAGCCCATAATTTTCCACACAAATAAACCCAAAAATCTATACCCAAAAAGAGCCAGCGCACGCGAATAATCCAGTACAACCCGACCCAGTAAAGGTTAGATAGTTAAGAACTTGAAAGTGCCATTTCTTAGAAACCCTCGCTCTTCGTGGCAATTTAACTCACAGATACTTGAAACTTCATTAATGGATGGCGAAGAAGAAGCAACTTCATCACTCCAGCAAATGGAGAACTATCAATTTTGTTGGTTTTTGTTGAATTCTCTATACATGCAAATGATATCTTGTTTTTTTCAGTCAGTCATCTTCACAAACAGTTTGTGCTCCATTATGTAATCATTTATTTCTTCCTCTGTTATTTAGGCTTTTGCATTTCTTGGGTAATTAATAGAATTGCAAGATCAACATTGATGATCTTCGGTTCTGGATTGTATCCGTATTGAAAAGTCCACATTGCAAATCAAATCATTGGACAAAAGCCACATTAGCGCATGGTGTTGCTGTAGCGATGAAAAAAACAAATTATGCATGGAAATGGCTTAAATTTGAGTGGGCATTGAGGATTTTCAGGATGTTGTTCGCTATTTACGGGTACAAGAATGTGCAAGATGTAAGCACTTCATCTGTTGCGTACCTGTTTAATGCAGAGTGCTTCTTAGAGAAGCTCTCTTTTATGACAATGATGGAAAGGAGTGTAGCTTCTAACATTATCACGCATAATTTATTGGCTAAACCGTAAAGCAGGGCAGGAAAAGTTGAAGCTGAAGGGGTTTCGGATGATTTGTTCTGGATTCCTGGCATTCCATCTCGACCATTTACAGACTTACTATGAATTCTTTTATATTCTCATGACAGGTGGGAGAGCTGGGATGCCTACAGATGTATGCACATAATGTCGATTGGAAAGTTCTGTCTACGGCAGCAACATGAAAATGAGTTTAGGTTGTGAGATGAAATGAGAATGTTTTAATTCCCGATCATATGTCATAAGTCTTGCTGATATATATTCAGTTCTTATTAAATGGAGACCTGGATGCAGCCTGCAAAAATTGCGGTTATGAAGGAAGAATGTTTATCGCAAGAACTGAAGATAGATGAGATACCTTAGAACTTGTTGTCTAATAAGCAAATAACAGTGTTAGATGACTGATTCAAAAGGTGATCATTTGTTTAGCAGTCAGATAGTCAAGCAAACCAGAACCATCACCAAGAAAAGTGATAGTGATGGCGGGAAAGGTTTTCTCCTACAAGCTGATCCTAGAAGAGTTGAGAGAGAATGAATTTTATTTTTGGAGCGGTTGGTTCTTTTTTAATATATTAAATCTCAATCAGCAGTTGGCTGTGCAGTCTCAACCTGCAGCATCAAAAGCTCTATGAACTCGTATGCAACTTTTTAGCTCACTCAACTAAATCTCATTCCCAAAATATTTGAGGTTGGTTAAATGGATCTTGTTCCTCTACTATGGAAACTTCATGAACTTGTACAGGTGCGTGAAATTTTTTGTTCTCTATTTATGTTGTACTAGAAGCCGTTAAACAATTTGCTTACTTTCATCACAATGTGTGCTAAACAGCTGAAACAGTGTATTTTGAGTTGTTGGCTATAGTTTTCCATTATGACCCTCTTTTGTGCTCTATTGAAATTATTTTTGTAGCACGTAGATATTTGATCCTATACAATTACTTTTAAATTGCTCATTTCTTTTGCTTTTCCATCCTTTATCAACTATGTTAATCAGGCGTATAGATTTAAGGTATTGTAGGATGCCCGTTTTAAGTAGGGCCATTAACAGTTTAAAGATGTGTGGTGGCGTCCTGACTCAGTAGTGATATATATTGGCTGAAAGTATTGTAGTATGTCATTTTCAAGGCTCAGTAATGGGTTCATTCCACTTCATTTTCATTTATATGCGAGTGGAAGTGGCATTATTGTGCCAGTCAATTATATCAGTGCTCTTCTTTTGACCATGGGTTATCACCATTAATACCATCTAGAGAACATATTACCAAATGCCACCTGGTTTTAAGAGATGCCAACCTGCCGCTACTGCCCTCTGAAATGAAAAGGCAATCTTTTGTACTGACTCTGTCTTTGTGCAAAGTCCTTTTGATCACTTTTAGGATATGATTTGGGTTGCTACAGTTGGTAGTTGGTTAACTAGAACTTGTGGAGGACCTTGTATTTTTTGTTAATGGTTCACTTTGTCAGGAGAGCTCAGATTCTGGATAGTTGCTTGTCTTAAATCTTTAATTTTAGTTGAGGTGGTTTGCCAGTTTGTGCTGCTTTCTTGTCAGTTGATATGGAATTTTCCTTTTTATTTTTTTATTTTTCAAATCTTATGATTTTTACGTATTGGGAAAGGTGATATATTTGAACTATTTGCCAACAATATGCTTGGTTTTCCAAAGAGAACATGATGATTAATAAGCTAGATATGACGATGAATTCATTGTTGAGGCCATTTGAATGCAACTCTGAGAAGGAATGATATTTGCTTGATCTAGTAAAGAACACCAAACTTAGGGTCACGGCTTGCACAAAGTTTGACGTTGTGCATTAAAACTTTCTTCACAATAATAGTTAACCTTTATCGGCCTCATATTGATGCCTTTTGTGGTTATCAATCTCTACTCTCCCCAGTCAATAGTCACTAGTATCCATGTAATTTTTAATAGAAAGAGACACGGTGATGAGAAAGAATTTTAACAATCTGTTGAGTTAAATGAAAAAAAAAGAGAGATATTTTTACCAAACTTTGAGGTGGAATCCTTCACGTGATTAAACCGGATAAAGCCAATTTGCTACAATGTTATACCGCAAAGTTTCTGTGTGTTTCAACCTAGTTTTCCCACACACATTGATTCTGTATCACCCCATGCTTTTTTGCCATCACCTGTCCTGAAACTGTGTAAAACTATAACGATCTTTCTGTTGATGGATGTTCGTACATGCCGAGAAGGAAGGAAAACATGTATATTTAAAGTTAGCCTACTTCCTGCTTTATTGTTGTTATTTTTCCCTCTTTTTGGATTTCAACTTTTTTGTGGCTGCAGGGATATTACTCAAACTTGCCAGAAACAAGTTTATATGGTGCATAATCAGCCACCATTTGGTTCATAGTAACTTTCTGATTATTTTTTAAACGTGGAGAGTAGTCTAACCTTTTTATGTGTGAATCAGTATCTGGCACAGCCTTATTTAGGTTGATTTGATAACTTACGATACATATATTATATTGAGTTTAATCCTGCTATGTGTGAACAATGTTTTCCTTTTTCTTCCGTTCGAGTTGGAACAACGAAGTTAATGTAGAGTAGCATTTTTCTTCCTCCGGATAAATTTACAATTTTTAAAAAAATCCAACAATATATTTCCACATCCGTTTACTTTAGTTTAGTGCTTTTGTGTGTGGTTCCACACTTCTATAGCTTAATCATTTTTCGTACTTCTTTGTATGTTAACAGTGTAGCTTGAGGAATACCAGATGCTGCAGAGAGGACAAATAGTTCTGATAGGAAGTTAAAATCTGGATTCTAATCTGTGTTATGCACAAAGGCACATAGGCGTGGTTGAAAGTAAGTTCTCCATTTCTTTCTCTAAAGCATTTGTGGGATAAGTTTATGGAGATTAACCCATAACCGGTGGATTATAGTGAGCTCCATGTTAGGCCTAACTCATTATGCAGTGTCTCAAATGAGAAATCCGGTGCTTTGCCATTTGACATGAGATAGCTACTAGCTGCTATGTTAGGTGAACTACACGTGGAAAACTACTGGGGGTCATAATCAGCTATGACTTTTTCATGGTTGGAAATCAGCTAGCTTGCATATTCATGCACGCTTGCCATGCGTATTGACTAGTCTAACATACATGTGTGTATAATGATCTTGGATTCGCAGTCAAATAGCCAAATCAACTTTATGTAACTATAACGACCAATCATATGTTAGTCTAGTGTATATGATTTCAAGCTGCAGCGCACCATGCAGGTTTGGATGAAAAGAGGTGGAATCAAATGCCCATTAAATACTTTTCTTATCGATATAATGATCAAGGACCTATATAAAAAATAAATAAATAAACAAATAGAAGAAAGAAAGTAAATGCTGGGTTCGGATAAGGATGATTTTGGCTTTTGTTGGGCGGAGCCAACTAGGGGAGTTATTATTTTCATATCTACCTTTAAGTTAATTTTTGTGCAATTAATTTTCAGTTAGCAAGACTTGACGTGTAGGGTAGGTCTACGTTTTGGTACTTATAGTTATTACTCTTAAAAAATTATTTAAAGTCATAGGTTGGAAAATACTCTTTAGCCACGTTAAAAAAAAAATTAATCTTAAAATATATAAAAATTGATCCCATAACATTTTTACTATTGGAAAATAAAAAATGGCAGGTTATTTGAAAGTTAAGGCACTCAGAACAGGATGGAGGGATCCTTTTGACCATCGAGAGGTCATTTTTCATTGATATTGGGTGCACCTAGGAATTCTTTGTTCTTCTATTCATCCATGAAGCTCAAAACCTCAGACTGAGAAGAAAATTATGGGCTACTTTGTCAAGGTACGGCAAGAAATTTGATTTTTATATTCCATAATTGGCATGTGAGTGTTTGAATTTTAGCAGAACAAGTTACCTAGTATATGGGAAAGGAGAGGAGAACCTTTGAAATCCCTGATACTTTTGCTTTACATCACACAAGACACAAAATTCAAAGCATAAATCTTATTCCTGCATGATAACAAGCATAATAACGTGAAGTCTATCAGCCAAACAAAAGCATCTTTGAAGGATAAATATCAAGTCTTAGGAGTTGTGGATAATCATTAACTTTTTTGATTATTAGCTATGCTCATTCCTTAGCATATGGTCCCAAAAACCTATCTAATTCTTCCAACTATTTGTCTCATTCTTCAGCTTTTGTCCAATTTCGGCACCTCAGTTTTGCTCCACCACCATTTTGGCCCCATTATATTGCGGAAACGTCCCCATTTCCCCATCCTTAGGAACAATATTTTTTGTTCTTTTATTGTCACTTTTTCTGCAGTGTATGCCGTGCTGGCTGCGTATCGTTGCCAGGAAATTTCACCTTACAGAAGGCAAGTAAAAAGTGACAATTCCATTGTTAATAATATTATCTGATATCTTTTCTGGCAATCAAACAAAGAACATACAATTTAAAATTCACCCTCTGTTAATATTTTATGTTGTTGTTTTCCAAGTCTACTAAGCATATCTTTTAAATTATCCAAATCCAGCATTATGAGTTGAATTAAGGAAACAAACTTCTATAGTTACAACGAATTTAGAAGCATGATTTTGAGAATGACCAGTCAGACAATAGCACACGGATGATTTAGATCACGAAAATGATTATTTTCCGTATTGTTACTTGTTATTATAATACTTGGAACACGTAATTAGCACCATTAATGTTTGGAATCGAGGAGTCAAGAAGTTGTTATGACCAAGTTGCTTTAATTATATGCGATTTAAGACTTTTGAAGTAATGGGTTAGGGGAGATTCTGTGGTTGGTATCTGTTATTCTGACCAATTCAAAACTTCACCTACAAAATGCACGTAATTGGTGTCTTTTAGGCCACACGTGTGATTGTAACCTGTTTAAGAATTGACTCTTTTAACTTTTTGATTGTTATCCTGATTGTCAAACGTTAATTTATGGAAGATCCTTGACTAACATGAGTACTGTAACTTGGCTTGTCAAATGACAAATGTTTTGAAGATTTAACAGGAGGAAGAAGAACGAGTGATTTGAATTTGTAAAATTGAAATAAAACCAACGTGTTGAAATACTGAGGTGCCATTAATTCCTTGCTTAATCCATCATTAACTCAAACTTGATTGCTCATCTAGTAGTTTGTCTAATTAAGGGACTGTTGATGCAAGGAAGGGCTGAGGATGTGCATCATTCTTTGCATATCTATTACAGTCTTTGTCGCAGGACTAGTAAAGCTTTGAACATAAAAGGAATAAGTCCATGGTTTAATAATCTATATTACTTCTAATATATATATATTAGGGTTTTTAACTGTTAGTTATAGAGAAAAAGGGTTCTTTTTTTATTTCTTGAAAACTATAAATAAAACCACTACCGTTTTAGTAAGAAAGAAGTCCATTAATGTAATTTAGTTGTTTACCTTGTTGGGCCAAAAAAAAGTTGCAATTTCTAAGAAATACTTATGATGCCTGAGTTAGGTGGAAGAGAAGGAGGTTCGGGCTTATAATTGGGAAATTGAAACCTTGGCGGCTCTTGCAAAGTTAAAACTGGGTAATTAATGTGCAAACCAATTTTCTTATAAAAATAATAAATAAATAAACCTAGGTATGAATCAATTTTTAATTTTCTTTTTGTGCTACTTGAGTGATAGGAAATTATATGTGGATAAAAAAGGATGAGCGTGTGCCTCTTCCTCTCGGTCAACAATCTAAATCATTTTCTTTCTTAAACTTTACGCAGCATGGACCATTTTTCTTGGAGCTTTTTGGCTCTGTTCTTGTTTGCGTTGTAGCTTTGCTTTTTCCTTTTTGATTATGATAATTGTCCTGGACAGCAAAATAGAAATGGGGTTGCTTGTCTCATAATATCTGATGGTATAACATAGTATTATGGTAGGGCTAAACAGAATCACTAATCAATACAATAATAATAATAATAATCAAGTGCTTGATGAGTTTGGTTTCATATTTAAGCAACATTGAATCAAATATTTGTTTAGTTGGATAATGATAATGTTGGTCTTGGCCCATATAAAGTTAGGTCACAGAAGAACTTTTTACTGAACAATAGTAAATAACTACGCAGTTATCCACACCATTCAACCAACCTCGTCACCAAAAAATCCATCCTCGGTTTAAAACCCCTATGGTCATGTTCTTTTGCATGCTTTTGCCCCCTTCCCTTCCCGTAGAGTTTGTCCTTTGTGTCTGCGTCTACTGTGTGAGAGGCCCCCCAATACTCACACCACCAGGCCGAGGTTGGAGCTTATAAACAGGACATACCTATCCATCAAAATTTTGGAAATTCAAAAAGTCAAGAGATGCATAAATTTACGCCAAAGTGTGATTGAGACCGGTCACCAGGGTTTAATAAAGATCTGAAAAAGGGACAAAAGGGTTTAGAGGACACGTGTCAAGTGCTTATCTTCAAGGGTAAAAAGTTGATGTCATGAGACGAGGCTCTAATCCTTTGAATCAGCCGCCATCTTTCTATACGCTGGATGTTAAAGACAAAGTGAAAGAGACCAATTATATCAATCCTCCACAGCTGGCTTATGGGTCCAATCTAACCTATACAAACTGATTTTTTTTTTTTATTTGGTTATTCTTCTTAAGCTCTTTGTTCTAATCCCAATTTCCACATGAGGACAAAATTCTACAACCATAAATTCGCAACCCATCCTCTCTTCCCAAAAATTTCAATCTCCTTTAGTTTCTCTCTCTCTCTCTAGTTGTTCTAAGCTTCAAGAGTTAAACCTTGAGGCTTCCTTCCCTCGTTCAACCATTTCCCTTTTTCTTCTTTTTAGATATATATTGATTATCAGATATATCTTCAACTTAACTAATCTTATTTATTATTTGGGTCGGTCCATTATTTTAATTTTAGGCGAGCATGAAGAACCCACAATCAAGCTTGCCACCAGGGTTTAGGTTCCACCCGACAGATGAGGAGCTCATCCTCCATTACCTTAAGAAGAAGGTGGCATCCACACCCGTTCCTGTGTCTATCATAGCAGATGTTGATATCTACAAGTTTGATCCATGGGACTTACCAGGTATTTCTTTTTATCCTATACCTCCTTTTGATCCACCTTCTAAATATAGCAGCACACCATGTTAATTGTTTTCTATATCATTTACTTTTTTTTATGTCATTTACTTTCTCAAAAAATATTATATACCATGTCAAAATCCAATTGAAGTATAATATTCATCTTAAAAACAAGTGGCTCGTGCTCTTGTTTTTGTTGGGCTTTAACATATTACTATATCATTATGATACTAATCATAGGGAATTTTTTGTGCTGTTGTTTTGTATCAGCTAAAGCTGCCTTGGGGGAGAAAGAGTGGTACTTTTTCAGTCCTAGAGATCGCAAGTACCCCAATGGAGCTAGGCCCAACAGAGCAGCTGCGTCTGGATATTGGAAGGCAACTGGGACAGACAAAGTTATAATGACATCAACAATGGCACCAGGAGGTGCAATAAGAGGACAAGAAAACGTTGGTGTTAAAAAGGCTCTTGTTTTCTACAAGGGAAAGCCTCCAAAGGGAGTCAAGACTAATTGGATTATGCATGAGTATCGCCTAGCAGATGCCCCCACCTACAACAACAAATCCATGAAGCCAAAAGATTCATCCATGAGGGTATGCATAATTAACAATTACATGGCAATCTGTACTTTTATTAGGGTCTGCAAATAATTGGCTCTGATAAGACAAACTGGGTAAAGGTCATAGTTTTTGGGCATCTCACTATTTGCTTGGGTCCTATTTAGTTTCGGGTGGCATGCATTACATAAAAGAAAAGAAGTACCCCAATCACTATAAATGCAATGAATATATATACACACACCCACTTGGATCTGATCTTTTAATTAGAGCATAATTAATTAAGGATGTCATGTAGTTTCATCGACTTTTGACATGTAATGCCGTTTGAATCCTCCATGGATCCATCCTATTTCACATTGTCCGCTTAAAGATACATCATTTTTGGGATTTGTTTTTTCGTTAGGCATGGGGAAGAAAGAATTGCTTTTAATTTTGTTGGTATTTAGATTTGTCATTTACTATACTAAATGACAAGGATGTGAATCTTTGATCGGTTGTAAATAATAGGAAAAAAAATACTGGGACATTGGATTTTTTTCTTTGTTCTTTTTATAAAGAATTGGAATTTATTACTTTGAAGTAATTGGTCCGAATTGTTGTTTTTGGTTTTGCAGTTAGATGATTGGGTTCTTTGCCGGATTTACAAGAAATCTCATGCTTTAACTTCATCTACAAGGGCAGCCATAACCAGTGAACATGACCAAGAAGAAGAAGAAGAACAATTTGTCCAAGAAACCGGCCTTTTCCCGGGGTTGAAAAGTCCCGTAAGCAACAAGAATACCCTCTTATCCCAGAAGTCCTGTTCTTTCTCCAACTTATTAGATGCCATGGACTATTCCCTTTTGAGTAGTTTCCTAGCAGATACCCAGTTCAACCCAACAGGGTTTGAATCAAATCCTACATTGAATAGTACTGCAGCACAATTGGACCAGCCTTTCTTGACCAGTAACAGTAATACTGCAAGCAATAGTAACAGCATGAGCAGCGGTTACTTTCTGCAAAAGTTACCTCAGTTGAACTCTTCAATGCCAAACAACATGCAGGAGAATAAACTGAAGCGCCAACTTTCACACATTGACGAGGACTTGCTGAATCCATCAAAGAAGTTCATGAACTCTTGCAGTTTCCCTAACACCAACAATGGTACTCAAACTGATGTGGGACAATACAACTTCCTAAGCCAGCCATTCTTGAACCAGCAGTTACTTTTGAGCCCTGCACATCTTCATTTCCAAGGTTGAAATGAAAGGGTTCTGAAGATAAAAATTAAGGAATTAAATAAAAAAACATTATTGTGAAAAAACAAATAGAACTAAGGATTTACCAATTAGCTTAATGTGTATAGAAGGGATGCGTGTGGGAGTCTTGATTTTTTGTGTTACAAATTGATAAACTACTTGATGAGGTGTCAAAAAGATGCCTATTTGGTAGTCAAGAGGAGTTTGACAAAGAAAAAGACACGAAGGAGGAGTTATCATTCGGAATCATACATAGACTTTTGTAGACGAAGAATGTACAATGATTGAATTGGCAGATCAAATGGATTGGTTACTGGTTTGAAATATTTGTGATGCTACTTTTTATTTTTATTTTTTTCTTCCAATAAAGCCATCTTCCACACGGAAATTCCTAATCATTACATCACTTTCTTTACCTTTTTCTTTTCTTTTCTGAAGTGTTTAGATAGCTAGTGATTCAAATAGGTCATTTTATTTTCTCCGGAAGTAACAGTAAATAACATGATTTTACAACTAAATTAGTTTGGTACGCATTAAGCATATGGTTGATGTTAGGTCATAAATTAGCTAATATTTATCTTTATATAAAAATTTAAGTCTCCAAACTATTTGTTCATTTTTAGTTACATTTATTATGTTTTTAAATAATGTTTAAGTTTTCAATCTATTTTTCTAATCAATTTTTTTTTTACTATAAACAAGAAATTTAACCGAAATACCCTTAAGAAAAATTTTATAATATTCAAAAAATAAATAGTGACATGTACAACGATTACTTCATGAATCAACTTAGAGGAGAAAGATAGACAAATAAAATTAAATCTAAATCCATCAAAAGTGATAAGAAAATTTTCATGTTCGCTTAATTATTTTTTTAACTTTCTCTCTCATATTTTTATCTTTTTTTTTATCTATTTCTTTCAAGTAGATTCATAAAATAATTATCGTATATGTAATTAATATGTATTTTAGATATTTGATATAAAATATATTTAATTATGATATAGTAATAAACACGGATGGACAAATGTATTGATATTTAAAAAAAATGTATTGACTTAAAAAAAATTGCGAGAATAATAAATTTGATGATAAATTTAACAGTATGTTGTGTATAAATAGAGTTTTTAAAAATTTTCGTGTATGGGTGCTCTTCTATCTCCTTGGATGGTGTGCATCATTCTTGTAGCGATCGTGTGTGTCTGTACATATTATCGATCCTTCATATCTATGGCACGTGGTAGATTCCAACATCCTCGTGTTCTAAGCACCAAAGATCACTACAACATCCTCAAGTATCGTTTATGGCAATCTATATTGCACGCTAAATTAGCTAATAGACAACAAGAAACATACCTACACTGACCTATATATATATATATATATATATATATATATATATATATATATATATATATATATAAAAGAGCAAATAGATAGAGGCTGTATATATCCAGATGCGTTGAACTAAGAAAGGTACATAAACATTAGTTTGATGGTGATGGTGATGCATTGCTTCGTGGATGTCATGTGACACAGACTATATATTAGACTCATCAATTGAAATTGTGGCTGGGATTGGGATTTGTGGTGCCAAAACGCCACCTAATTTAATATCTGGTATGTAACGTTTTTATTGGTAATTTGCTTGTTGGATTGCTAACATGATTGTTTAGAAGGCTACGATTATTTTATATATCTATTGCCTATAAAAATAATTATATTATTTAATTTAATTACATAATATTTATACTAAGTAAAAACTACTTTCTCTTTAAATCTACTTTACTGTCAATTACAAAAACATTTTCCAAATTATATAATCTCTCATAATAACTTCAATTTTTTTAACAAAAACTAGATTCATTGATGTTTAATTTCTTCTTTTTTATTAAAAAAAATTACAAGTTGTCATATTATTTAAAATTTGTCAATAAAAAAAAGTACGTTTTGCAATGGTCCAAGCTTATTTGATGCTTTGTAATAATAATAAATAAATAAAATCATTGTCCGACCACACAAAATTATAGATCTATATATTAAAATGTTTACTACTTAAATTAATTAAGTTTTATAGTCGTAATTAATGGGCTTCTAGTTTAGTAATTGTTAAATCTTTACACTTTCTTTATATTTGCAATAGCTTATAGGTTCAAATCTTATCTTTAAAATATTTTATTTTAAAAAAATATTGTATTAAAAAAAAAAGTCTTTGACATTTATATCGATGTTCAATTCAATACGTGTCTTCCTAACTCTAACCTGCTAACCTCTTGATTGTCTAATAATTTATTGTCTTAGTTGTATTCTATTTCTACTTTATTTTATTATTTTTTCTAGAAAAAAGAAGATGAGAAAATTTGCATATGGAATATATATTTGAGAGAGAGATTAATTTATTGTTTCTTTTATAATACAAGAGATGGGATAGGAAGGATTTTATGTTTATAATATATGATTAATTTGCATAATATATATAAAAAATAAATTTGATTAATTAGAAATATTAATATGAAGTAAATTTAGTTAAATAAGAGAATATTACCTAATAAAATATCAACCTTTCATTTAATTTTAAAGGGTTAAGATTCAACTAATTATATATTATGTTAGTACTAAATTGAGAACACATGAATCCATGAATGAGACTCTGACAAGAATGATGAAGACTTATGCCGACTTTTTCAAAACTGGCATGATTATGAGCAGGCATGCATGGTTCGACTACTGTTAACAACAATTCTTTTGGCTGCCTCTTTTGTTTTTGCTTCAATATCCTTATCTGTTTCTCGTGCTCACATTTTCGTGCTTTGTAGTTTTAAACCTTTATTAGAGTGTGATTTGTAATATGTTAGCATTATGTTTGAAAATGTTTCTCAAAATATGTTTGGATTTGAAAAATATCATCTTTAAAAAAATATCAAATTGATATTTTTTTAAAGATGTTTTTGAATGATTTTCATATGTTTTAATTTTTTTTTAATTAAAACAGACCTTAAAAAAATATTTGTATCGTATTACCAAACACACTTGCTAGTTTTGACGCATGCATTCACCACTTATATTTTACATTATTATTTATTTATTTATTTAAGATCATTTTCAATCATTAAAAAAACCTATCAAATAGCAATAGAAATCAACAACCAGTTTAAATTTGTTACTAAATAGCGATGAATTAGTGAACGAACTACGACCGTTATCGAGATATGGATTTTAAGAACGGAATATCGACGGATCAGCGATGGATTTTCAGCAACGGACTTAATCCGTCAGCAAAATATTCGTGGGTAATTTAGACACGATATAATAAGGGAATTGCGAGAGAAATCAGCCATGAAATTACAAATTATGTCGCTATTTTTGGGTTTAGAATTATCAACGAAAATTTTGTCACTAATTGAATATTTTCCAAGCAAATTATCAATGAAAATTCCATCGCTAATATTGAAAAAAAAAAAGCAAACTTTTGAAATTCAAAATTAACAACGAATACTTATGTCCGTCGCTAATTCTAAATCCCTAATCGCCCACCCACTCCAAACTCTTTTATCCCTAAAAAAGTTGTGAATTTCCTCCTTCATCACCATCTCCTCTCGCCATCTCCAATGGTAAGCTCTCTCTCTCTCCCTTCCTACCAATTTGTTATTTTTGTTAATTTTTAGGTTAATTTTAATTAATTGGTTGATTTTAATTTTACTTATATTTCATTATTAATTGGTTGATTAATTTGTTAATTCATTATTTTTTTAGTTGTTAGGTTAATTTTTTAATTAATTTTGATTAAAAGTTTAATTAGATTTGAATTAGGGCTAAATTAATTAGATTAATTTTTATTAATTGGTCGATTTTTAATTTTATTTATACTGCAAATTATTAATTATTTATCATTTAAAATTTAATTAGGTTTGAACGAGGGTTACTTTAATTAGGTTAATTTGAATTAGAGTTAAATTAAATAGATTGATTTTGATTAATTTGTTATTGCATTTGTATTCTAATTTTTTAATTAATTTTTATTTAAATTTTAATCGAGTTAATTTGAATTAGAGTTAAATTCATTAGGTTAATTTTTATTGATTTATTGATTTTAATTTTATTTATATTCCAATTTTTTAATTAATTTGTATTTAAATTTTAATTATATTTGAATCGTGGTTAATTTAATTAGGTTAATTTGAATTAAGGTTAAATTAATTAGGTTAATTTTCATTAATTTTTTCATTTTTAATTTTATTTATATTTCAATTTGTTAATTAATTGTTATTTAAAATTTAATTAGGTTTGAATTAGGATTAATTTATTGTGTTAATTTGAATTATGGTTAAATTAATTTTGTTAGTTCTTATTAATTGGTTGGTTTTAATTTTATTTATATTGCAATTTTTTAATTATTTTTTATTTAAAATTTAATTAGGTTTGAATTAGAATTAATTTAATTAAGTTAATTTGAATTAGGGTTAAATTAATTAGGTTAATTTTGCTTAATTTATTAATTTTATTTAAATTTTAATTTGTTAATTAGAATCGTTTCGGGAGGATGATTCGAAAATCCAATACTATTTGATCTTGGAAGATGGTGAGGAGGAGTCGTTGAATGATCAAAATTGATTGTTTATAAATAAAGAAGTAGTAGAAGCTAATAAAGAAGATGATAACGAATATGAATCCGGACAACTAAGGGAGATGAAAACTTAGACGATGATTGCTAGAATTGTAATTAAAAATCTATTGTATTTATTGTATTCATTAAATTATATCATTCTGTCTATTATATATTTTTTAGATGTTTATTATGTATTTTGGATCCGTTATATTTTGTGTAGGTGGCACTCCGGTAATTAGAGAATATCCAATTTATAAGGGAGACTATGCTAATTTTTTTTTATGAAAACAATTTATAATATATTTTCAGATCAAATTGTTTTTTATTTGTTGTATTTGTTAAACTATATGAAGTGATATTCTAGAGCTATGATTTATGGATTGTGTTGTTCCACCCC